TTACTGATCTGGGGTCAAAACTGAGAATCATGGACCCCTCCAGACATTGCTAAACTGCAACTACCAGAAGCATAATGATGCTGGAAACTGTAGTTCAGCAAATCTGTGAGGAATCCAGGTTTCCATTCATTTATCTAACATAAACACTTGTCTTGCTCTTTTAAGAATTATTAGCACTAGTTCTTAATTCTGATCAGTCAAACACTAATTAGGTTGGGACAACTGTTTGGGCAGAATGTGTTACCCTGATTTAAATGCACAAGAAAGGTATTTTTACTGCCCTTTCAGTGAGAAGGTTTAAGAGATTGTCAAGTGACACTTTTATTTACTTTAATCTTCATTATTTACTCTGTGTTTGCAAAATAGCAAAGAATTATAATAATGACTTTAAAACAGCCTTGATAGGCAGTTTTATTCATTTCAGCTTTCCAGCCTGAAGCTGCTTCCAGACAATGTGTTTACAGTAAAATTGTGTATGTCTTGTTCATTCACATTTAATGAGGAATTAACACCACAAAGTCATCCTCCAGTAACCCTTGTGTTTTTCTAGTGGTGCTCCTGCCTTTTTTTAAAACTGAAGAAAATCACACTTTAGGGAAATTAATAAATAAGCAGTAACCTCTATTTAAAGCTGTGCTGGGTGGGAAAACTATCTAAATTAGGATAGTTAGGAAGATTTGTCAACAACATTTGGGAATGCTTTTATTTTTGTATTCCTTGCCATGAATTTCTCACTGCAAGGCCAATTCCTCTTTTATAGTGCAGTTCCTTTTTCAAAACGTTTTTTTTCGTTTAACCCTTGCGATTCATTTAGTTGTTCTTTAAAAAAACCCAAGGCAGATTATATGTTTGATTTAAAACAGTAGCTTTCAATGTTTTCCTTTACATAGATACTACAGCAATGGTTTTGGGGAGCACCACATAAGTCAAGAACTAGCATTATAATGCTTGTGGGCACCAGAAATGACCATCCAGAAAACCTCAAAAATAAATGGTTTTTTAAATAAATGACTGAAATCATACTATGAAGTTTGGGGTAAATATGCCAAAATTTGGTGAACTAATTAACCTTCTGTATTAGATTTGAAGAATTTTTATTTTGGTCCATGCCAGGTATTATCTAACGTTCTCTAAGCTACAGATTGGGGACCACTTATCTCTAAAGCAACTCTGTTCTTGATTATTCCATTTGCAACAACTTCTCAAAGGAAGCTATGAGATAACTTGTTCCCTCTCAAAAGGAAGTTTTATTAAAATCTATGACCGAGTTTAACTATTTAATTAGAAGATTTGACATATATTTGCTATATATTTAAATAGTTGCATTAGAGCATTTTGTAGCAAATAATTGATTTTTTAAAAAATGCCATATTCTGATCCTATGATGAAGAAGATGATAGACAGACAGATAAGATAGGTAAGACAGATGATCAGTGAATGGAATATAGTAGCCTTTTTTTATAGAAAAAGTGGGATTTCAATGTAGAAAGTCGACTGTGCTTCAGGTTATAATTTACAGTGAGAAACAATGATTTTCTGGCCCTATTGGCCTATCTGGCCCTACTATCCTAATTCTGGAAACATGCTAAATCTAAACATTAAATTATCTCATAGAAATTCAATTCTCAGTTTTTCATTTAAGGTTGATTCTTGCTCTCTTATTAATATCTGGCCTATCACCCACCAAACTAATTATTTAATTAGACCAAATAAAATATGTAAACAGCAAATGAGCACTGTTGAAATGTAGGTTTCCTAAAATCTCTAGCTGTTGGAAGTCAACTTGAGGAAAGCATCTGAACTTGGGCATACTTCCTCTGAGAAAGAACCACACTTAGTATACCCTGCAAATGATTTCTAGTTAGCAAGTTTCATAATGGGACTTTTTCCCTGGGTAGGTGTGCAGAGGACCACGGGCTTAGTCATCTGAAAAGTAATGTACTCTTTTAAATAAAGGAGAAACTTATAGAAGTTAGAAAAGTTTGTTCTTTTTGAGCATATGTTCTGTATCAAAACTTCTATAAATGGCATCCTCTGTGAATACTGTACTGCACTATAGAGCTGATATTATTCCCACCCAGCACAGTTCAGGAGATGCAAAAATCAAAAGGATCAGAATATCCTTATTATTGAGACAAAATCAGGTACCTGAAAAGTCCTTTAGTTCCAATCTGAAATTGTCAGATATTTCATTATAACAACAATGAATGAAGTAGTTACGTCAGTATTCTTGCTTGTATATATTTAGCTCTTCATATTAAGCAGTCAATAAATATATATTATCAACTGCACTGGAAATAAAAACAGAAAAAAGAAAAAATGCTCGAGTGGATTGTGGACGAATGAATAGTGGAGCATGCCTTAGGTCAGCCAACCTGAAGAGCATGTCCTTCCATGGTGCGATGGTTGGGTTAAAGCTTGATCTCATACTTTATTTCATGTTTCTTGGGCCAGCAAACCTACAAAGAACATGAGTTTTGAGTTGAGATGAAAGGTTTCACCCAAAGCCCCTAGGATCAGCAGAAATACTTTGAGCAGAATGTAAAAATAATAGATAACAATGAGTCGGTGAATTCTGATCTCAGCATATTGACTGTAACTTATCATATATCAAGCAAGATGCAGCTTTTGGCTGAGTGAATATCCTCAAATGATTGTTATTTATAACAGGGTAGTGAAGACCTAATCACCAGCAGATCATTTTTCTTGGCCTCTGTATTACTGAGGGTGCTGCTTCATTCATTGCTGAAAAAAAATCAAGCTGCTAAAAAATACTATCCAGACTTCAGCTGAAATAGATGAATCTCTATTGATTTATTATAATCCTTTTGACTTTGTTTGAATGTAAAATTTTAAACTGTTTAAAATGTTTTTGGAACTAAGTACTTAGTTCCACTAAAAGGCCTTTGTTGAAAAAAAAGTTCTTATTTGTTTTCCCCCTACTATGTTCATATTTTGGAGCCTTATCAATAGGAAACTTAACATGAAATGCAACAGGGTAAATTTTCAACTCTGCTTTCTTATACTCCATACCCTTGGTGGCAACCTCAAGAGGGAAATTAGGTATTGTAATGATATAATAGAACACCATGGTATTGTACTAACTCACACATTTCTATAAAATATACATGCTAGAGATTGATACTTATTTACTGAGTGGCACAGTTTTCTGTTTCTTCAGCTGCACACACTAAATTGAGAGGCACTTATCCCAATGCAGAAGTTCTTTCTATCACTTACCAGTAGATTACTCCAGCATGGTAGACTTGAATATCATCATAAAGCAACAGAAATGAAAGGAACATAATTAGCCAAGAATAAAAAAACACCACAAGGAAATTGCATACCTCTGGTAACTTGCGGCTATAACACAAGACATTTAACTGTTTAATATGCTGTTACCGTCTCTTTTTCTGTCATGTATTCAACTGCATATACAGTATGGAGGATTTCTAACATTCATAAGCTGAGATTCAGTATCAAGATCTTTCTGTATAATAACAGGTTATAGTTATTTAATTTTTCTTATTTTGCCTGTGCTTCCATTATCTAGTTTGTCTACATGAGTTCTTCCTGTGATGCCATCTCCAAATGCTAGGAGACTATTTCTCTTGCTTTGTACAGTATATACGTGATTGCTGTGGGAACACCCTTACCACTGTATAAATAACAATACTGAAGTAATGAGTCTAGTTTTCTTGATGTCTTAAATTATGAGTGTTGGAAATTAGGGTCTTAAACTGTTTGTGTACACTTCAGGCACTGTTCAGTAAAAGAAATAAATGTGGCATTTATGCAAATACTAGGCTGTGTTTTTGACCTTTTTTTAAAAATCAAAAGTTGCTGTATCATAAAAATTGTTTGAATGCCAGAAGTAACCAGAAATAAACATGTGCTGCAAAATAATCATTTCAATTCCTAAGGGAAAACTTCATGAAATGATTAACTCTGTGTAAAAATGATACAGTAAATCATACTGTGGTTTGAATATGCTGTCCAAAGCATGAATAGTCCAGATTGTGGCCACATCTCTCCAAATTGACATAATTGATTCAGATTACATAATAATTGATTACACCTCCACATATCATCTGAATTTGATCTGATGGTTAATTCATTTCTCCAAACCTCAATTCTAGTGGCAGAGGCAGCAGCAAACATCCATTCCTGCAGTAGCATTTCTGCAATTTCTTTTTCAATTTCCATCTACAGCCATACAGGCTTTTTTCCCCTGTCATATGACAGGGTATAGAAATGTTAGCTTTCCATAATTGAGCTACAGAATCTATCACAACTAAGTGTGCTATACATAGAAAAGTGCTGGATTGCCAGCACTGGCAAAAAACGATTTTGCGATCAATTTGGTAGAGGCACAATCAGCAAACTACTTCCTGCTACAGAACTGTGATGTAATTAAGTGAAATTTAGCACATTGTAGAGACCTCATTTGCTGCTTTCCATATGTATTTAACTACAAATCCTATCTCCCAAACTAAGAGACAATGGGTTCACCATGCTTGTATTTGCACTACAAATGTGATTGTATCATTTGTTAAAAACTTTAGAAATAGTTGTTAGATTAGGTGAGATAAGCGTTTATTTGATATTTAAAAAATACAACCAAGTGCACATTTCCCAAGAGTATTTAGTGGAATAACAGGGCCCTGACTCTGGAGGCTTCAAGGCTTCTGAAAATACAAGCATCCAATACAAGTGGCATTTTAGTTGCTAATTTTGATAAATTCACCCTGCTTCTTTTGGCCTTGAATTAATTTTTCTACTTCCCATGCCATTTGTCATCAAATTCATGTATTTTGTAATCGTAAAAGCCTTATTGTGAACTTAAGGGTTGTTCAACAATAATCTACTGGGGCACGTGGCATAGATTGGAAGTAATCTATAATTTCCATACATTTCTCCTAACCATTTTAAGAGTTCCTCATCATCACATCATAGTAGCAAAAATCTGTATGTAATGTAATTAAGATGCTGAAATAGAATTACACCTTAGTAACAGTGTTACTCAAATTATAAGTAAAAATGTAAACAAATCTTAGGAAACGATTTCCAGCGATGGTGTGGTCCCCTGCTTTGTTCTTTCAACTTACTGCTGTCCATCGCCCATGCTCCACTACTGGCATTTGGATAAAATTATGGTTACCGCATCTCGGCTGCAAAAAATCTGAAAAAGTACGAAACTACTTTTAGGATTTTTGCAGCCTAAATATGGACACTCCAGCTATTATATGACCATGCTTGCTATTTAAAGGTCAACGTTTGTGGGCCGACAGAAAGGTTCGGTGACATTATCACCTGCTATTACTACAACCGACCAGCCATGAATACTGAGTGCTACTCGTTCTGCTCCCCCCGCAGGAAGCTCGGGCTACTCGGGCAGCAGATGTGACGCTTTCAGTTTTTAATCTATGAATTATCAGATATCGAGCTACTGTATAATATCATGATGCTCCTTGGGGCTTAGAGCGATGGCCGAGAGCCTTCCAGTCTTCCGAGACGATCCACCTTCGGAGCCAACGGGAGTGGGGACCAGAAGCTGCAGCGCCTCCCCAAGCGGAAGAAGGCCGAGCTCTTCCCCCAGATCACCGAAGGTATCCCACAGCCCGGCCCTCCTCAGGTTTCCTTCCAGGGGAAAGCCCTGGAAGGAGATAGCCGAGGAACCGCCCCGGAAGCAGCTGGGCTACTCCCGCCGCCCTTTGTTGGGGGCCACAGAGACCAGACCTCAAAAACAATTCAGAGGCGTCTTCGCACTCAGGACCTTCCGGCCATTTGAACGAGCGCTCTCGCTGGTTTTAGCCTCCCCAAGATTGCCGCGACCGTCGCCTTGAGGGCCGGAGCGCGAAGGCGGCGCTTGAGTCACCCTGACGCTAATGATTGACAGCTAGGCCCGCCTTTGCGCGAGGAGGAGGAGGAGGAGTGGGGGAGGGAGCGGCTCGCGCTGGCCGGTGCCGCTGTAGCCTCGTTAGGGCTGGATGGATCTGTTCGGGGACCTTCCGGAGCCAACTCCTCCGGCAGTAGCAGCAGTAGGTGAGTGGCGGGTCCCTTTTGGGGTCGCCCCCCCCCCCCATGTTGGAGGAGGAGTGGGCCCGAGTCTGCAGGAAACAGGCGAGCTGGGTTAGCTTCTCTTTCCCAGGAGCCTTCCGTGTTGCCTTGCTGCAGCTTCCCGAAGGATCAGAAGCGGCTCTCCAGGAGCCTAGTACGGAACTGTAATGCTTAAAATTAATCCCGCTCTGTCAAGCGCGAGTCAACGCGCATGCGCCTGTGACCCCACTGGGAAATCCACGAGTCTCTTATTGACACTCGGGGGTGACCTCTGGCGGGCGCAAGTAACACCTGAGAAGCCCGGGTGGCTCCCAATAGCCAAATCCTGAGGAACAGCCATTCCCACCAGTTTTATAGCTAGAAGGGTGAGGCAATTACCTGGTGATAAATCCTATCACCTCTTGCCATAATAATGTTAAAGATGTAAAAAGTAATGTGTAAAAAACTGGACACCAGCTAAACGAAACAAAGATGTGTCAAAAAGTGTTTACTATTTGATGTCGCCTGGCGGTCTTTGAATTTTTGCAGCTCTCTTTGGCAGTCCTATTTGTGAATACTGTATGTTAATAGATTACTCTGTATTTGGTTTTGTTTTATTTGGTTTTGTTTAGAGAAAGAGGGACAGAAAGGATCTCTGCTTTTTGATGATCTTCCTCCAATCAGCAACAGTGATTTGGGTATGATTGTCGTCTATGTCTTGTGTTACTCTGAATTCTCTTGCTTTTCTCAATCAGCTACTTGAGCCCTTGTGCAAAATTCTCCTTAGAGGGCGTGGAAATTCAGTGAGTTTATCTGGTCTGAATAGCCAGGAATTTGCCAACTTGACTATAGGATTTTTCTGTTGGCAGGTTCTGACTTTTTTACTTGTTTTATTCTCTATGGACTTCTTGTTTGCATCATATTGGTGCAAAGAGGCATTTAAACCAGTCCTTTTTACTTTTGACATTTTTTGCAAGCTTAATTTTGCTGTCCTTAAGCAAGACTCCATTCTATTATGCATTTAGATTTAACTAAGATTATTTTCTATCAATGGAACTGTAAAGAATAGAAAGACTGGTAAGTAGGAAAGCAAAAGCTGAATCTTAGGTTCTACGTTCTCCTTTCTTTTGTTTCATTCTATCCTTGTGCGTAATTGAACAGTGTACAAAAATACTATAACCACTCCACAGTTATTTAACTCTGAATCTTTTTCTTAAAGGGAATACTTTTATATGGAGATAGATATATAAACAGGAAGATAATTTTTAGAAATATATAGTTATGGGAAAGCCATTGGTTGCTGGAGTAACACATTTTGCAAGATCCAGTTTCATTTCCTGGGGTGGCTGGTACAGATTCAGCTCCTACTTACATCCTATATTGGTACCAGTACTGACTGACATATCAGATAGTTTTCTTCTGAAACAAAATTTCTAAATACACTGCCAATTTTTAATTTACTTTTTAAGAAATGTTACTATGACTTAAATTAGCAATTCATACTTCTAGTTAGTTTTATTGGTCAATGACTAAAATAAATTTCTGTCTACCTCTAGTTATGTGTCTTTTTATAAGCTATATTTTAATGTAGATAATGAACATAATCTTTTCCATGTCTATTTCAAAGCTATTTTTGTAAGGCCTACTTCTAAGTATAATATTATACTTACTTAGAAGTATTTGCAGTCCTAGTGCTTTCCTCTTCATTTTATGAATTGGATTTAGTGCCATATGTAAAATGGATAAAATGTTAAGTAGCTGTTAAGCTTGGCAGAGTTTTTTGTAGATGAAACTGCTCAAAAATCTACTTACTGTAAGATCTGATTAGGGTTATGTATTTCCTTGTTTGGTTGGGGTTTTTTTAGGAGCAGGAGGCTCTTTGCTATTTGATGACCTCCCACCTGCCAGCAGTGGCAACTCAGGTGAGCCATGACTAAATTTATTTTGCTATTTATTACACTGCTCTAATAGAGTTACACTTGAGTGTTACCTGTTTAAGTACCTGTGGTTTACACTAAATGCACACAGGCAATGTGTCTAAAATGATACTAGAAGAAACGGTAAAATGTCTCTCTGATTTTCCTTTTTTCAGATTAGAGAATTTCTATGCTGTTCATGTTTTTGTTATGATACTAATCAAGTACTTGACTAGGGTGAGATTACTACTCTGCTATTGCTGAGGCCATAAATATCGATACAAATATTTATTGTATATTAATGTAGTTGGTCCAAATTAATCTTCTAAAGCAGGGGCCGCCAACCTTTTAGACCTCAGGGACTACCAAACTCATAATTTTAGATCCCAGGGACCACTAACTGGTTCTGTGGGTGTGGCCTAATTTGTGGGTGTGGCTTGGTGGTCATGTGACTGGCTGGGCATGGCTTATATGTAAATATTATAAATATATAAATATTGAATTTTTTTAATAAAAAAGAGCAACTTTTACCAAAATCAGGCAGAGCAGACAGATTGAGTTGCTCACAGAATCACAGGTTCATTCAGAAATCTATCTGCCATTGGCTAGCTCAGTCTGTCACATAAAATTTGCTTGCAAGCAAACTCACAAAATTAACTCACAACACACCATGCATGTAAATATTGAATTTTTTATTTTAAAAAAGAGCAACTTTTACCCAAAATCAGGCAAAGCAGGCAGATTGAGTTGCTCACAGAATCATTCAGTGATCTATCTATCTGCCAACGGCTAGCTCAGTCTCTCAAAATTGCTTGCGGTGAGTCTGCACTGAATTTGCTTGCAAGCAAACCTTCAGTCCTAAGGGAGATTCGGCTGTGCTTAGCTAGAAAGCAAGACATCCAACCATTTCCTGCTTCCTGGCTAATCTAAATCTCCCGGCATAGCAGAACAGATTATGGTCAGAAGAAGGAAAAATAGCAATTTAGCAGACAAGTTTGCCAGGCAAGGAGTGAGTGGGCGGGCAGGGAGGGTTCCCGCAGGCCATGTGGGCTGAGCAGCCTTGTGTTTCTGCACAGCCTGGATTAATTGCTTTGTGGGGGTGCTCTGGGGGTGAGATTTCTCTGCAGCTCACCAAAATTTTCTCACGGCCCACCAGTGGGTTGCGGCCCACTGGTTGTCGACCACTGTTCTAAAGCAGCTGTTCCTTTATTTTATTGGCCTGCATTTCCATGTAGTGTACTATTAGGCCTTTTTACGTCAACATGGTGTTTTATGAACTGATTTTATTGTGCTAAATTCTTTGACTAAGATGGTGGCCATATAAAGTCTATAATGAAATAAATAACAATTTTTTGTTTTTCAGCTTCTCATCCCACTGAGCAAGTTTCTCTTCCTGTGAGCTATGGGAAGGGAGAGAAGAGGAAGTCCATTGAAGGAGAGAAGAATGGGAGTGAAGAACTTGTGGAAAAGAAAGTTTGTAAAGGTTTTCAGACACTCTGAAGCCAAATATTTTATTCTATTCTAGTGCTGCTTTAAATAATAAAAAAGTGAAATTGTTTTCCTAAGATGGTTTTACTTGTAGCCACTCATAAGAATGGGAGGAGTAGCTGTACATAGATGAAATCCTTCCTGAGTATTTCTACCTTAGATGAATTTGTGTTTCTCCTTCCTTAAGGGTACCAATGCAAGTCCCTTTTCACTTAATAATTACGATCATGCTGCTGTCATATGTTTTAGCTGCATTCCTTCACAGAACTCAAGTCAGCATCAAGTATTACTATTTTTCTCACAGCTGCCACTTTTATAATTCTTATGTTTAAAAAATTAAGCATACAGATTGCTTTTTAACCTGATTGGATTCTGTTTGCAAAAACAATATATACATAATTAAGATTACCTAATGTAATTAGTACAAATTTGAAGGCTATCCTAAAGTATTCATTGTGCCACATGTATTTTTTTCTGTGTGTTGCCAAATTTTTATTATTTGGAGCAACATGACTTAGTTGCTCCTGTATTGTGCACATCCTAGTGTCATCTTGCCTGGGACACTGTGTTATGGCATGGTTTTAATAATGACTTGCTGATTATCTAAATTGTTGACTCAATGCATGATTTATCAGCTATAGTGAATAGGTCCAAACATTAAACTAAACCAAAATGTTAGATATGGTTTATGCAGTGTGAGAAGCCTGTCCTTATTTATCCTCTTAGTGATGCAGGGAGCATCATAGCTAAACTTGCCCCAGGTTAAATATAGAAACCCAAACACAGTCTCTAAATATTTCACCTGAATTATAATGTGATGGCTGTTGGATAAGCTTTTCTTAGCATCATCTGCATGTTCAGATTTTCAGCCAGAGGTACCATACAGGGACTATTTACAATTTCAGCATGGATTATAATGAAGAGGTTGTTAGAATTCTGGTCCTTATTTTTGATAGCTGACTGTAGTGCTATTACACAGGAAACATGTTCAGGGATTAAATATGGGTGCATTTTGCTCTGTTTTTCTTTAGATTCTGCAGGTATTCTTGGTTTGAAAGGTTACGTAGCAGAGAGGAAAGGTGAGCGAGAAGAGATGCAAGATGCCCATGTTATTTTGAATGATATCACAGAAGAGTGCAGTCCATTGTGCTCTCAAATGTGAGTTACATAGTTACTTTTTGATTGGTTTTTTTTTGTGTTTTCCTCCTGGGTTTAATTGCTTGTCTGGATGGTAACTTCAGCTGGTTTATTTTGCTTTACAAAATAAATAACTATGTTGTTTTTTTGTTTTCTATAATGCTATAATGATGCAATATGTATATATTATTTTAAATATCACTGATTTTAGGAACCATAACTAAAAAGAGAATCCAAGACATCTAAAAAAGATGTCAGAACATTCACATTTTTAAATTTAAATTTTTGCAGAATAAAATGACAAATTCTTCTTCTTTTCTTCTCCTGATTGGGAAGAAAATAAAGCATTAACTCCCCCCAAAACTGAATTAAAAATATTGATAAGTAATTATGTATATACAATATATGTATATGCTCTTTTTAAATAGATCTATTTTATATTTTGAGTTTCTAGCTTATTCCAGAGGAGCATTTCTTAATAACTTACATCTTTAGCATGATCTTCTTTTACGTTTTACATTAACCAGGAAAGTAAAGATTTTTCCCACTTGGAACATAATATTAAACCTGTGTATTAAGTAATTTGACATCACAGTCTTCATGTGTATATAAGGCATTGATAACCATAATGCAATATTATTTAATATGCACTTATATCTAAATATAACATATGTAAAACAAATATAAAATAATATAAACTAATATCAGCAAGAAAATAGTTATAAATAATAAAATATCTAAATATCAGCATATCTTCATCTTTGTTGAATAGAATTGGCCAAGTGTGATTGGACACACAAAGAATTTGTCTCAGGTGCATAAGCTCACCATGTATATATAAACAAGTAATTGGTCATAAATCATAGTTAAAATTATTAATCAATTACAAACAATAATTGATAAATCATAAGAAACCAATAGGATAGTAGGAAAGATGAGAAAATGAGAAAAGATGAGAAATGAGACAGTGCTATGGGAATTAAGTATTCAGCAGAGTGATGGCAGAGGGGAAAATCCAGTTGTTTTGGCATGCAATGCTCTATAGTGGCATCCTGAGGGGAGAAGTTGAAATAGATCATGTCCAGGATGTGAGGTGTAGATATTTTCTCTGCCCTCTTTCCTGTTCGTGCAGCATACAGATCCTCAGTGGAAGGCAGGCTGTTTCCTATTGTTTATTCTGCAGTACTAACTATCTGTTGAAGCAAAGAAACATTCCTACGTAAAGATCCTGGGAAAACAAATATAAGAGGTTTTTTTTTCAAACTTCAAGAGATCAGACCTACTGTTCAAAAAGGAGAGTCTGTGTATTCGCATTGAGGACAAGATAAAAAATCCCATAGAAGTTGAAGTGTAGTATTTTCTTGTACAGGTACTGGAATCTTTTCATAACTGAATTGTTAAGGGAAGTCTTGGAACTGGAAAATGTAAAACAGATCACTTTTGCTTTTCTGAGGCTATGAAACATTCCTGTGTGTAGGTTACAGGAAAGATTATTTTTTTTCTGGATCTCATGTTACAATTTCTACAGTTCTGTTGATAAATACAAATTCAGTATCGTGCCCAATTTCAGAGTGAGAACAGTCTTTATCTATATTTTCTTTATAGAATTCGTGTCTCATATTTTGCTGTTTTCGATGGCCATGGAGGAGTTAGAGCTTCAACCTATGCTGCACAGAATCTGCATCAAAACCTAATCAGAAAATTTCCTAAAGGTCAGAAAATATGGTGGTGTTCTTTGAGTTCTACTTCGGTTGAGACCCACATACTGACTTGGATCTGTTAATAGGATATTCTTATATACCATCCTTTGGAAGAAATACACTGATTTAAGTGTGTGAGTTCATTAAACAGTATCAAGCAGTACCTGAAGAATAACTTGGGTAAAACCGAATCTAAATCATTAATTTGATTTGTAGACTTTCTTAATCCCATATTCATGCAGGATTAAGCAAAATAATTTTCCTTTCACCATGAATGCTGAATTTTTTGTTTTCTCTGAAAGCTGCAAAGAATGGCTGGGCTGTCAATTCTGGAGTGTGTGTGCCAATTCTTTCTAATATTTTCTCCATTAACCTCTGGGTTAGGTGTCTAATTGTTTCCTTTGAATATAAAACAGGAGAGGTACACAGTGTGGAGAAAGCAATAAGGAGATGCATTTTGGATACTTTTAAACACACAGATGAGGAATTTCTCAAACAGGCTTCCAGCCAGTAAGTATATACTTCTCAGGGATATATGTCAAGGTATTTGAAGTAGAATCTCTGTAGAAAGTTGGAGGGGATGCAACTTTGAATTTTTTTTCTTCTATCAACCAATTTCTGTGTATGGAAAGGTGGCCATTTAAGAAAAATATTATCTGATATTTATTTGCTATTTTTAGAACTTGGATAGGAGGGGAAGGTACTCCAACATGTGTTCTGGGATGTTGCACTTGAAAATACCTGAAAGGCTGTATTGCACAAGTGTCAAACTCATGGTGTCACATTGCTGTCATGTGACGTTTCACGATGTGTTTTTCCTTCATGGAGCTGGGATGGATGTGGCCTGAACATGATGCACCTGGCCCATGACCGCCAGTTTGACATCCCTGCTGTATTATATGTGTGGGGTTCCATAAGGCCTCACATTTCCATCATTGTAATGGGGGACTTGGTATCTTATAAGAATCACCTTGAGTAGTTGGACTCATCTTTGTTTTGCCCCCGATTTCTGAAACCTGCAGGAAACCTGCTTGGAAAGACGGTTCCACGGCAACCTGTGTGCTGGTGATTGATAATACTCTGTACATTGCCAACCTTGGTGACAGTAGAGTAAGTCACACTGAAAATTGTGGGTCCTATGTGTGTTTTATAGTATTAAACAAAGGGTAGTTGTTTTGTTTCAGTGATAAGATGTTAGAAACTATCCTTTAGTTCAGTAACTGTTTTTTTACCAAGGGATCAGGAGAGTAATACAGACTCGTCTTATATTAAGCACCTGGTAGTAGAATAGAATAGAATAGAATAGAATAGAATAGAATAGAATAGAATAGAATAGAAT